CCGAAGAAGTCTAAAAGAACTGAAGAGCGCGTGCGCCATCAGGTTGCCAGCGAATCTGCCCAGATTAGCAACTCCGAAGACAGCGACGGCAAAAAGAAGGAGAATAGTCGCATAAAAATAGCAACCAGACAAAAGTCACCCAAGAATCGAGAGCTGGAGAACGACTTATCTGAGGATAGCAACGCCACAGGGAAGGAGAAGACTAGCAAGAAAATTGCTAGTGAGTGTTCCACTTCCTCAGAGGAAAGCCTGCCACGGCTGACCCGCAGGAAGACCATCAACGGCAGCGGCAAAAAGATCAGGCAAGGCAGTCCCACGAGGCTATCCAAGGAGAAGCAGCCAAGGACAGTGGCTGCCCAGCAGCAGCATCGAGTGAAAAGTTGTTTGGTGCGTTTGAAGCGGATTAAAGGGTCTGAGTCACAGGAGGGTCCAAAGATCCAGGCAAAGCCAAAGCCACAGGCAGAACCAGAGCCACAGGCAGGACCAGAGCCAGAGCCAGAGCGAGAGCCAACGCCGCAGGCAGAACCAGAGGCAGAACCAAGCGGAACTTTAAAGCAACGCAAACACACAATGAGCACAGATTCGGAGGAGGCTGCCACAACCTCGGGCACGGCAGCAGCCAAACGGCAGCGTCGCAGCACCAAGAAGAGTGCGGAGAGTGAGCCGGATTCCGACTATGAGGCAGCTGAGGAGCCCGAGCAGGCCGATTCCGATGCGCAGGGGGAGGAGGAGGAGTATCAGGCAAAATCCGAAGAAGATGAAGAGGCGGAAGAGGAAGCTGCACAGACGAGCGGCAGCGAGGTGATACCACAGCGCAAGCGACGCAGTGGCGTCAAGAAGCGTGACACCGACTCCGACAAGGGTTCCTCCGACTTTGAGCCGCACGAAAAGTCCAAAAAGAAGCGCAAACGCATCAAAAAGAACTCGAGCGGCGACAGCGATGCGGATGGCGACGAGGATAAGCAGAAGAACAAGCGAAAGACCATACGGAAGATCATAAAGAGCAAGGATCTGGACATGACCACCAAGGAGGCGGCCAAAGAGGAGGATGATCGCCGCCGACGCATCGAGGAGCGCCAGCGGGTGTACAATCGCATCTTTGACAAATCGGAGAGCGTCGAAATATCCGAATTGGTGCTGGACTTCGATGAGGACTCCAAGAAGGCGCTGCTGCAGGTGGACAAGGGTCTGCTGAAGAAGCTCAAACCCCATCAAGTGGCGGGCGTTAAGTTCATGTGGGACGCCTGCTTCGAGACGCTCAAGGATAGCGAAGAGAAGCCCGGCTCTGGCTGCATTCTGGCCCACTGCATGGGCTTGGGCAAGACCCTGCAGGTGGTGACACTCAGCCACACGCTCCTCATGAACACCAGGCGCACAAATGTGGAGCGTGTCCTCGTGATTACGCCCCTCAGCACGGTGAACAATTGGGCGCGTGAGTTCCTCTATTGGATGAAGTTTGCCAATCGCAAGGACATCGAAGTGTACGACATCTCCCGCTACAAGGACAAGCCCACGCGCATCTTCAAGCTCACCGAATGGTTCAACGAGGGAGGAGTGTGCATCCTGGGCTACGACATGTACCGCATTTTGGCCAACGAAAAGGCCAGAGGATTGCGCAAGAAGCAGCGCGAACAGCTGCAACAGGCCCTGGTCGAACCCGGCCCAGATCTGGTCGTCTGCGATGAGGGGCATTTGCTGAAGAATGAGAAGACGTCGATCAGCAAGGCGGTGACAAGGATGCGCACCAAACGGAGGATTGTCCTCACAGGAACTCCGCTGCAAAATAATCTCAGAGAATGTAAGTAAAGGATCTGTTCAGCCTGTTGGGTTTGCATTTTAATCCTGTTTTGCCACACCCCAGATTACTGCATGATCCAGTTTGTGAAGCCAAGCCTGCTTGGCACCTACAAGGAGTACATGAATCGCTTTGTGAATCCCATCAGCAATGGCCAGTACACGGACTCCACGGAGCGCGATCTGCGCCTGATGAAGCATCGCTCCCACATACTGCACAAGCTGCTGGAGGGCTGCATCCAGCGCAGAGATTACTCCGTTTTGGCGCCGTATTTGCCACCGAAGCACGAGTACGTGATCTATACGACGTTGTCGGAGCTGCAGCAGACACTGTACGGCTACTACATGACCACATATCGGGAACAGAACAGCTCCGATATCTGTGGCAAGGGTGCGCGCTTGTTTCAGGACTTCCAGGATCTGCGGCGCATCTGGACGCATCCGATGAATCTGCGTGTGAACAGCGACAATGTAATTGCCAAGCGGCTGCTCAGCAACGATGATTCCGACATTGAGGGCTTCATTTGCGACGAAACCGAAGAGGAGGAGGCCGCCACCAATTCCTCCGACAGCTGTGAGTCCTTCAAATCGGACGCCAGCATGGCCGGTGCGCGAAAGTCCACAAAAAAGCACAAGACCCGCAACAGAGCGGCTGCCGATTCGGATTCCGATTTTGAGATGCTGCCGACGGGACCGCTGGCCCAGAAGGACGATCCCTCCGAGTGGTGGAAGCCATTTGTGGAGGAGCGCGAGCTGAACAATGTCAATCATTCCCCCAAGCTGCTTATTCTGCTGCGTCTGCTGCAGCAGTGCGAAGCCATTGGCGACAAATTGTTGGTCTTTTCGCAGTCACTGCAATCGCTGGATGTCATCGAGCACTTCCTATCGCTGGTGGATAGCAACACAAAGAACTATGAATTTGAGGGTGAGTCCAGCAATAAAACACCCATTCTAACATCACCCATATGACACGCTCCTTTGTTCAGGGGACGTTGGCGACTTCAAGGGCTGCTGGACCAATGGCAAGGACTACTTCCGACTCGATGGCTCCTGCAGCGTTGAGCAGCGCGAGGCCATGTGCAAGACATTCAACAATGTCACCAATCTACGCGCTCGCCTTTTCCTCATTTCCACGCGTGCCGGCGGCCTGGGCATCAATCTGGTGGCCGCCAATCGTGTGGTCATCTTTGATGTCTCCTGGAATCCCTCGCACGACACCCAGAGCATCTTCCGGGTGTACCGTTTCGGGCAGGTGAAGCCCTGCTACATCTATCGCCTCATTGCCATGGGCACCATGGAGCAGAAGGTGTACGAGCGGCAGGTGGCCAAGCAGGCCACCGCCAAGCGTGTGATTGACGAGCAGCAGATCTCCCGGCACTACAATCAAACGGACCTCACGGAGCTCTATTCCTACGAACTGAAGCCAACGGCAGAGCGCGAGATGCCGCTGCTGCCCAAGGATCGTCTGTTTGCCGAGCTGCTGACCGAGCACGACAAACTGATATTCAAATACCACGAGCACGACTCCCTGCTGGAGCAGGAGGAGCACGAAAATCTCACAGAGGAGGAGCGCAAGTCCGCGTGGGCCGAATACGAGGCAGAGAAAACGCGCACCGTGCAGGCCTCACAGTACATGAGCTACGACCGCAATGCCTTTGGCAATCAGGTGATGGGCCAATTTGGCAATGCCTCCGGCAGCGTCACCTCCAACAAGATCTTCGGCTTCCGCTCGGATATTCTGCTGCAGCTGCTCAATATGAAAATATCCAAAGATCATCCAGAGTTGACGCAGAACCAGGTCATCCAATTGGTGCCCACCTATCTGCAGCAGCTGTACAATGAGATGAACAATGGGGATCCCACCATGTACAAGGATCTGTTGAATCTGCACGGGAATATCATACACCCAAGCGGCATGTATATGAATCCATTGCTCTATGCCAACCAGCATCCATCGGCGGCTGGCTACAATCAGGGTACAGGCGGTATCGCGGCGGCTCCAGGTGCGGCAGGTGCTGCTGCACCGCCCGTTGTGCCCGCTGCACCAGGTTTCGAGCCGGATAAGGTATACGAAATTGATTAGGATGCACCCCCCCCCCCCCACACACAAGCACTCTTTGGATAGAGCAGGAAGCATCTTCCTAGTGTATCCTTGTATCTAAAGTATTGCAAGACTACAGTTGAATCTTTATATTAGACTAGATCCATTTGTGTAAATCATTTGTTAGGGTTGGGGAAACACACACAAACTTGAGCGCTTCACAGCTCCATAGCTCTGGCTCTGACTCTGACTGTGACTGTGGCTCTAGTTCTGCCTGTGGCTTTGGCTTTGGACCCTCCTTTAAACCGCTTCAAACTGTTGCTAATCTGGGAGGAGAATCGCTGGCAACCTTTAGGAGGCGAACGAGGCTGCCAGCTTCGTGGGAAGATCGCTTTCTCTTCCGCAGAGTCAGAGACAGTCCTGTTAAGGGTTCTAAACTATCCTAAAGATTAAGCTGAAGTCTTACATTATATTAGACACAAAGGTTATAGTTTTCAGTTATAGTTTAAATATAAAGAAACACAACAAAAGTAACTATTTTAGATCGCATAGCTATTATGATTATAATATGAATGGATAGGACCTACTCTCCTCACCCCTCCACACAAGAACATTATTTAAACACGCAACAAACGATAAACAATAAATGGCACAGATATTATAAATACAACAAAATATATTATTCAATTTTTGTTTGGGCAAGGAATGGGAATGTTTGAGGTGGGTTTTGGTAGGGTTTTTGTTGGTTTATTTGGGAGCCTTTGGAGGAATTTTAAGTATTTCCAGATACATGCTGGAGGGTGCCCATATGTAATTCTTGCTGCTTGCAGAGGAATCACTTTCCATGATAATGAGTAATCCTGGTGTATTAGAGAGCTCTTAAGGCATTTTCTGGCAGTCTTTGCAGCTTATTCATTTCAATGATTTTGAAAATATATTTGTAATAAAAGCAGCTTAGAATGCAGCGTACCTATATAGAAATTTCTTTATAATTTGATGCAGCTTTTGACTACACAGAAAGACTTATTATTGTCCCTTTTAGAGCTGTCTTTCGATAAGGAATCCGTAAGCCCTTTGCACACCAGTCTGTAATGGAAAGAAGATCGATTTTTTTTTGGAAATATCTACGCGTGTCCCATGATGTTGCGATGTGCTTGGCTTGACATTTCTTTTTGTGTTGTGTTTATTGAACTATTTAAATTACAAACTAAAACCCCACCTTCAGCAACCCCTTCAGCCCTCTGCTCACTTGGGTGGCAGCTTGCCCATCATGCGTAGCTGCTGCATTTGCTGTGCCTGCAGCATATGCTGTTGTCCGGGTGGCATGGGACCGACGGGTGGCATGCCCGGCATCAGGCCAGGACGTGGTGGCACACCACCCATGGGTTGTTGCATGCCAGAGGGGCCGCCCTGCAGCATGCCCGGGTTGATGGGCGGCGTGGGACGATTGTGGACGCCCTGTTGGATGTCGGAGAGGCAGGCCTTCCATTCCTCCAGGCGATTGTAGTGCTTCTGCAGCAGGGCCTCCTTGCGTTGGATCTCAATGCTGAGATCCTGGTTCTCGTCCTTGATCAGCATGTAGGGCTTTAGAGTGGACACGAGGAAGCGTTTCTGTAGGAAGAATGCCTCCATTTGGCGGGCCACATCGATGAAGCGATTCGTCGTCTTCTGTACCTCCAGTTCAATCTCCTCTTTGTTGGTCCCCGAGTTAGGTTCCTGCTTGGTCAGGGATAGCAGGCAGGACTGGAAGGCTTCCTCGAACTCGTCCATCAGGTTTCCATTGCCAGCATCGCTTTGGGCCATGATTAAAGCGATTTTCAATTATTAACAAAGATTTTTGCCGGTCCCCCGACTCCAGTGTGACCACGGACTTATCGGTTAAGTATAGAGGTGTCATTTTTAAAATATACCGAAAGATACCAAGAAAGGGAGCGGCCAACTTGTTGGAATTGCATTTCTAGGGATGATAATTGTGGGCTGCATGCGGCTGTTTATATAAACAAACATTTTTAAATTCAATTAACATATAAAATGGCTGCTCGGATGGTGCAGCGTTGTCTGCACACGGCACAGAACTGCCTAAGGGCACGCGTGCCGCGTCGAGCCAATCCCGGCCTTGGCTATCAGCTGCAACAGTTGCAGGAGAACGAACGGCCAACAGCGACGCCCGAAGCTAGCGAGGATTATGGCGATATGGAGTCGGATTTCATGGACGTGCAGAAAACCCATCGACAGCATGAGGCGCAACAGCAGGCGCAGCGAGACCGTGTGCGTCAGTTTATGATCAAACACAAGTACTTTCGGGACGTGAAGCTCCCAAATCTGTTGCTCCATGCGGAAAAGGAGCAAATGCGTCTGCTGCACGAACAACGGCCGGATGAGTGGAGCATCGAACGTTTGGCCGAGAGCTTTCCCGCCACCCCAGAGATTGTCCAGAAGGTATTACGCGCCAAGTGGCGCCCGAGGAATGTGCCCAGGATTCGCGCCCACGATGAGAGCGTCATGAGGAACTGGCAGCAGCTGCGCCAAGGGAAATGTGATGTGGCCATACCTTCGGCGTTTCTGCAACACTTGGAGAAGTTCTCGGAGCGACGACAGCAGGATTTGAAGCAACTGAAGCCGGAGGAGTGGCCCACGAGGCCGGCACTTCCAGTGCCGGCGTCAAATGAGTTCCGGCAGCTGCTGTGCAGTGGAAAACAGCCAGAAGATCGCCCAAGTCCTCCGCAGCTACCCTCAGGGTATGCTCCGCCACCGGCAGCAGCAGAAGATGAAACCTACTTGCTGGACAAAGTGCGCAATAAGCGAAAGATGCGTCTGCAGGAGCTCAAGCAGCTGCAGCTTGTTCCGGCCGTATCCGAGGTGCCCCAACCGCCGCCCAGCAATCCCAGCGGCACGGGTCACCTCTCCAGCTACGTGCAAAAGTTCGAAAGCAGCGAGATTGTGATCAGTGTGGCAGATCAGCGACGCTACGAGATGACCAAAGCCAAGGATCGCATTGTAATACCTCGAAAGCTGCATCGTCCAGGTGCCACTTACCGCGTGGAGGACGCCTACTACGATGACGATGGAGAGCTGCTCTATCGCGTGCCCGGCATGAAGGGTGCACCACATGGTGTGTGACTTTTTATTACAAAGCACGCGTAGAAGTTGTATATAAAATAAAGAGTTCTTCCGGACTTTCGGCGTATTAAATTCAGTTGCTGAAGGCGGCGGCGATTAGATCGCTTCCAGCCATTAGAGAGTCGGAGGCGACTGTGATGTGGGCTCCAGTCAGCTTGGAGATGAAATCACAGGCGGCTATCTCCGCATAGTTGGCCCCGCCAACCACAAAGACAAAGAGATTACGTAGTCGCAGGGGAAACACATCCGCATCCACCCCACTGGAGGGTGTGGCCGCACCTGGTGGCGTCCGCTGCTGTGCAGCATAGGCCTTGGGTGTCTGTCTGCTGCTGCTGCTGTCCAAATGGAGTTGCAAGCCCTCGACCATGGAGAGCTTGCTGGACAGATCCTCAGCATTGTTGGCGCGCAGCAGAATGGAGCACAGCTGTGCCACCAGCGGTATGTACGTGCCATTGAACACAAAACTGGGGCAGGACTGTACGCCCTGTGGGCCCTTTGAGGTGGCAGCGCCATCCGGTCCATCGCCGCAGGATGTAAGCAGCTTCAGGCGATTGGCATTGGCTTGGAACTCGGTTTGCTGGAACTTGGGCAAGGGCAGATTGGCCAGCAGCTTGGTGGGCGCCTTCTTTTCGGGCAACAGCTGGGGCAGCAGCGCCGCTTGGGCCAGCTGCTGGAACACACCCAGCTCCCGATGGCCAAACATGTTGCAGTAGTTCCTCGCAAACAACTGCAACTCCTCGGGGGCCACGCCCGCACAGTGATGCAGCAGACAGAGCAGGCGCAGGGTATTGTAACGCTGCCCATCTGTCGTCAGCAGTTCATCAATCTCCCCCAGCAGTCGCTTCCTGGACACATTGTTCAGTATATCCTCCTCCAGGGTCTGCAGTCTACGAAAGTTTCCCAACATTTGGATCACAATTTCACTGGCATTCAAATGCCGCAAGACTTTTGCTTTGAGTTCCGTCAGTTTCGGCAGCTTTCGGGCCACGTAATCGTGCATCTCCTCCAGCTGCATGTCGTTGAGCTTTTGCAGCTCCAGGCCCAAGGCCTTGACCTGTGCGCGTATCAAACTGCTGGCCTGTGCAAAGTGCTTGTAGCGATTGTCGCCATAGATCTCATCGGAGGCAGAGTTGAGCCGCACCGAGATGGATTTGCTGGCGTTTGTCGCCGCCTTTGGCTGCTTGCTCTGCAACAGCTCCACGCGCTGACTGCTGATCTTGTTCTTGGAATTATCTACGACTATTTCGCCTGCCCGCTGCTGGAACACTTCCAGCAGCAGACCCGCATAGATGGCGGGCGTGAGCAGACTCGAGGGATAGTCCTTGTCCCGATCGATGATCAGCCAGGCGCCATAGTCGGGGGGATTGGTGGAGTTTGGCGGCTTGCCCAGTGCCTGTAGCATTTGTAGCAACTGTGCCGAGTGTGAGCCGAAGCTCAGAATCACCGCAGGTGGGCCACAGATCATTTGAAGCAGCCGCAGGCTCTGAGCCACAGCCGGCAGGGGCGAGTTGTCGCCATGGAGGTACAGGCACTCATACAACTAGGGGAAAAAAGAAGAGTTTAGACAGGTTTTTGGGTGCCAAATCCCTTACATTAGGCAACTCCAGGCTGAGAACTCCTTGGTCAAAGTAGATGAAGTCCCAATTGTAGTGGTGGAGCTCCACCAGGCCCCACAGCCCCGCCTGCTCGAGCAGCGTCTGGTAATACGTATAGCAGCTGGGCACACAGATGATGTGGTACATCTTCAGCGATATGTCGGGTGTCTCCACCGTGGCCAGCGGTTGCAGCTGACGCAGCAGTGTCTGATAGGTGCCCAACACGCTGCGAATCATATAAATGTGCACCTCATCCGCGGAACGTGGCAAACTCTGTTTGGCATCATGCTTGTAGATCCTCTGTATGCCCTTTAATCTGCAAGCAAGCGTCAGGGGTTAATGCACATTCAGGAGATATCGAGAATAACCAACTTTAGCCAGGATGCTGTGCAGATGTGTTCCAGCGGTTTGATCAGAGCTGGCTCCAGAATAAGATCCTTTTTGCCGGGAATCGAACACAGTATGGCTTGCAGCTGCAAATAAACCTCTTAGACATCGCGTATTTGAGTGTTGTTGGCATTACCTTTTCCTGTGCCACCAGCTGGAACCCCTGCAGCTTCTTTTCCATCAGGTTTCCATTGCCAGGGTCGTTTTGGGCCATAATTAAAGCGGATTTTGATAAATATTTTTACCGGCCCCCTCCAGCTGTGTGACCGCGGAATTATCGATAATAGATACCGCAAATACCTTCTTAATTTAAAAATATACCGTACATATATCGTAATTTTAAAGCATATTTCCGGATTTTGAAGTTATATTTCATATTACTAGCTAATTAGGAGTCTCAGCGCTAAAACTTTAATTTTATCCGATGTATCAATTAATTCATTACCAGATTGGCTAGTTTTCATGTCTTCCTTTTATTGGATGGCTTACAAAATGAGGCTCAAAAAGTAAAAGGACAACCGTTCGTTATTTGACAACTTGTTGCGACTCCAGCAACTGAAGTCGTAGTCGACATTACATTCTTCAAAGAAACATAATTAATTGATAATGACGCCAACAAAACGCTACAAACCAAATGAGTCTTTAAAGGAGACCTAAATATTATTTATAATCAAATATTCTTAAGGAAAATATATTTTATATTGACAGCTCTACGATGAAAAATTATGTTGTGAAGATAGAAGAACTGCCCCCCAACTTGTTATAATATTTACTTCTGTTCCCGTTCGCTCTCTGAAAAACAATAGAATTTCTTTTCTCTTTTGTTGCGCGCGCTATTTTTCAAATTCTTCAATGTTATCAGTTAACATGGCTCATCCAAATTGTTCTCTGTTATTAGTTTACATACTAAAAAGTAATACCAAAATAAAAAAAAATATGTAAAATATAAAATAAAATATAAAAAAATAATGCAAAATTCAGCCGAAAATACATCCGTGCGAAGTCCAGTTACTTGAAGATTTAAAAATTACGAAATTTTTTAAAGGCCGCCCACCTTCCTCGCAATTAAGGAAAGTTTTTTCAGAATAAGGTATATTCGCAGTATATTTTGAAAATGAAAGGTTGTATTTCGGTATATTTACGAGGGTCTGTCGGCATATTTGACCATCGGTCACATTGCGGCAGCGACGCCAGCAGCGACGCAGGCAGCGACGCCCTGGTCATGTCGAGACAAATTCAGTACGATTTTTGAATTCGAATGCCCATGAACAGTGAACACCCTGCCTTTTGTTGCGTCGAGCGGGAATTTCGTGTTTTTGCGTGTTTCGGAACCGTGTTTACCGCGCCTTGTTCGTATTTGGTTGTTTAAAACAAACGCAATCTATTACACCGCCGCTTAAACAAACAGCAGAGCCGGGCAGCAGAGGCCAAAGTGCAATCGAGGAACCACAGCCTAATTTATAGAGTGTCTGCCCGCGAAATTAATAGGCGCCGTTATCTTGTGGAAATATTTTGCTCCTACATAACAGCCAAAGGCCAGCAGCGAGTCCATTCCTGCCTCTCTCACAAAACAAAGAATAAATGTTAACAGAGAAATAAAGTATATAAATGAATATATATCATGTCCAGCAGAAACTAGAGGATAGTCAAAGTGTGTTTATATTTATGTGGCCGCAAGTGTAGTCCCGTTCTCTCTCTCTCTGTCTCTCTGTTTCTGTGCGTGTCGTTCGCGGGTGTTTGTGTGTGTCAGTGAGCTGGCAAGCATGTGTTTGTGAATTTATGTTGTTGTTTGCTGCTTTTGCTTTCGCGTGAAATCCAAAGACAACAAAGAAATAAAGCAAAACATAAATGAAATTTTTGGAAAACCAAATTGAATGCCGCAACGACGACGCTCTCCGCGCGCTCTTTTTACAGTTACAAGGTAAAGGGATGAGTAATTTGTTTAAAACAGCAACAACAAAAATGAACTTTTTTGTGCTTGAAAAATTGTTGCACACAAATATTTTTGCGTATTGCGGTCGTCGTCGCTAGCGAAAATACCTCAAATTGTTGAGCTAATGATAAAAATACTTGAATGAGAGCTGCTGTCTGCTTGGTGTTGCCGTTGTTGTTGTTGTTGTTATTGTTACTGCCGCTTGTTGCATGCCTCATCCGACGCCGACGCCAGTTGCCGTTTTTCTTTTTGTTTTCATATTCGCCATTGCCGTTGCCCGTCGCCTGCGTCTCTCAACCTGTCGCCCCGTGCACGTTATCTTTTTGCTCGCTCGCTCTGCTGCAGTTTTGTCTTTTTTTACTCCTTCCCACCCCTGTTGCTGCCATCTATGCTGTCTGTCAGTAATTTTCACGTTCGCTGCGTTTTGGCATGCGGCTTAGTGTTGTTTTTACTTTTTCTTCTGCATTTGCTGCTGCATTTGGATGTCCCTTGTTGAGATGGGGTATGTGTGATTAGCAGAAAGAGGATCTATGAGGGACAATCATATGTATTGCTTTTATTGGACAAATTTCTAATCGATCATTCTGTTAGGGTATCCAAGTTTCGATCCTCTGGTGTCACCCTTCCCTTTCTTGTTTTCTTATAGTCTTCTCTCCGCTGTTCTTTTTTGTATTCGGTTTCTTTGCATTTGTTTGTTATACCGGTTTGGATCATCATCAGTGTCGCTCTGTCCCTCTCGCTCTTCCGCTGCAGGTAGTTGTGCACATCGTTTACTTTTAGATTTTCCTTTGCTTTTGCGCTTCTATGCGTTTGCTCTTCTTCACATTTTGATCGTCTTCCATGTGTTCCCTCACCCCTTCTTCGTTGTGTCTTTCCTAATTATGGTTTATTTTTCTTGTGCGGGACCCGGACCCTGCTGCTGCTCATCATAAAATCTGATGAAGATTCTCTTCGCATTAAAAGTTCATTTTCGTTGGACAGCAAATTTATTGTTTCTTCTCTTTTTTTGTTTCTTGTTAAAAATAATTTGCATTTAAATTTAAAGATTGTTTTATTTTATATTTCTGTTTTTGCACAAAAGGCTATTCAACTTTTGTTCATTTTGATCATTGGATGGGGCTTGGTCGGGATTTCGGATTTTTAGAAAGGTTTAAACTTTAATGCGACACTAATACGTAAAAAAGAGGGGAATGTACACAGTTTTTAATAAGCTAATTATAAGTTTCTGAGCAAACGGTAACACAGTAAATAGTATTATATTCTTTTGATCTTGAGCCGTCAATGATTCTGTAAACATAAATCAGTACCTGATATGGAGAATAAATAATAATAATTGCAATAGCCAAGAAAGGTCTAATGATGAAATTAATCTTATTGCGTTCGCCTCATTTCTACACACTTTCCACTTTGCTGACTTCCTCATGGCCAGACCGACTGTATGTTCAATACGATAACAATAACAAAAGCAAGAAAATCGAAATAATTCATTTTGCATTTAGATAAATAAACAATTGCTGGCCCCAAGGCGATAAACTTTGAAGAAACCCCAGAGAGAACCCGGCAGAGAGATAGGGAGAGGGCAAGAGTGTTGCCTCATAAATTCTTCAACAAAAATTCTGCACTAATTAAACCAGAAACAAATTACACTTTCAAGACGAAATGGAAAAGGAACCGAAGCATAGGATAGACTTCGGCAAAAAGCAATGAAAAGTAACAGAACTGCACAAAGTTTTCTACATACTGCATCTTTTTTTTTTGAACGATTTGTTGCTTCTTTTGAGTTTTCTTGTCCTTGTATAATATTGAGGTTCAAAGGGTATACAGGGTAGAGCAAAGGCAAAGATTTCCGAAACAAAATAAGAAAAGTTAAGTTTCTCTTTGGCAGTCAGCTAATTTTCTTTCAGTATTCATTTTATTCTGAGAAAACATTAAGTAATTCCAAGTACTGGGTATCACTTAGTAACCAATTCCAACTCGTTTCTTTGTTGTTCTTTTTGGAGGCGTGTGAAATTTCATCGATTTGATGTCTGTTTTAGCTCATTTCGGGGCGTGGACTGCACACGAACGCACACAGATAATACAGAAATACTTGTGCATACATCAGTAAGTATTCCCCTCCAATTAGTATTGTTGTTTGTTTCCTCTATTGGCTTATGGCAAATAAGACTGCGAGTATTTCCAAATATAAGGTTGCTCTCTATTAGCTTTTCGGTTTTGTGTTCCCTCCGCCTCCCTGCCGTTCCATATGTTTTCTGCCTTTTCATTTTCGTGTGTGATCTACTGTTTAGAATGGGATTCTTCTTCCAATTATATTTGGCGCTTTATTTGTCTTATCGTCTTTTTCGCACACACTTATACCTGGAGCTATTTTTGGCGCTGCCTTTCCTTTCCGCTTTGGTCTTTTTCGTATTTCTGTTTCCCATCATCATCGTCATCCATCGCCCACACGTGTTGTGGGGGATTGTTGCATTTGTTGCGGTTTATTCCATAAAAGTTTTCTCGTTCCTTTTGTGCGTAATTACATGAATGAGTTCTCACACAAATTTTCACCATTTATTGCGCATTTCGATGCCCTCACCTCAGTCTCTCCCTTCTCCTCTCCCTTCCATGATTTGTTGCTAGAGAATACGTGATTGGGATACACTTAGACTTCTCAGGTTTTTGGATGATGAATCACCACAAAAATTATGAGATTGGGTGGTAACCTATAAGGGCCTACAAGTGTTAATAAATCTACAAAAATTAGAAAATATACCAAATAAAAATAGCAACTTTTAATGGTAATTTTCAAGTTGCCTTTTTTTGCCATTTCATCAAAAAAATCATGAAAAAAGAGTCGCTCTCTAGCGGGTGTCTCACTCACTTTTAGGGGTGATTCACGGCTCTAAATACAACAAAAATAAACAAAAAATCCCCAGAATACGTAAACTAAAGACCCAGTTTCTACAGCATTCTTCAATCATCATCATCTTTGCATTTGGGGGAAACAATAAAAAAAAGCGACAGGCAGGCAGAAAGGAAGAGACTTTCAAAAAGAAGACTTTTGGGGATAGGTTAAAACACATGGGATGCAGAACAGGCGGAGAGCGAGGCTGTAGCAAGAGGATGGAGTAGGAATAGAGGATGATGAGGATGGTTATGGTATGCTATGCCATGGTAGATGACTGGCGCGCATTGCCTGACTGACGTACAGCAGCGTCCCCCACCTTTGGGGGCAACATGTGCGTTGTGTTTCTGTTGTAGAATAGAATGTATGTGCCTCAGGAACAGAATTTTTTGGCGCGTGTCCAAGAATAAAACAAAAGCAAACCGGGAAAGGTATTTCTCATGCGAAA